CCCCTCCGGGAATCGCCCCGGTCCTGCATCTCGCAGGCGGCTCCATCCCTCCCCGAGGCCGGCAGCCCCACCGGGCAGGGACCCCCGCAGCCGTCCCCTCTCTCCCCCGTCGCCTTAACCCTTGTCGATCTTTCGTAGGCATCTTGGCCGAGGCGCGTTTTAAGGCGGACAATGAGGTTTTGCAGATGCTGGCTGGGAACTCCTCCCAGACTCTCTTGGAGCGTTGTTCTGGTGAGAGCCCGGCCGCAGCCCCCGGGGACGGCAGCGTTCAGATGGGGCGCCCGCATCTGAACCAGTGGATTTTTTATTTTTTTTTTTTTTTTGGTGACAACCAGTCTCCAACCCCGACATCCTTCCCTCCCCGCCGGAGCAGGAGGCGGCTCCGTTGGGATACGGGGTCTTTCGGGGGGGGGACTTCCCTGTCCCCAACCTGGAGAGGGACCGGCCGGCGGACCCCAACCCCCAACCTGGAGAGGGACCGGGAGAGGAGACCAGGCAGCTGCGTCAGGGCAGGGAGACGCCGCTTCTTCCCCCTGAAAAGGGACCCGTCCCCGAGGGTCCTTCTGTCCCCGTCTTGTCCCCGCTGTCCCCGCCTTGTCCCCGCGCGCCCGGTGACTTTCTGCCTTGTCCGCAGAGCTCCTCTTCGGCCAAGCCCGGGTGCAGCCCCGGCAGGTGAACGGCGTCCTGGGGGGGTCCGTGCTGCTCTCCCCGGCTCTGCCCCCCAACAAGACGGTGAAGGAGATCGAGTGGAGCTTTTCGGCCGGCGCCGGCGCCACCATTCAAGTGGCAGAGTTCGGCCCCAGGGGCTTCGAGCGCCCCGACCCCAAGGACCGGTTCAAGGACCGGCTGGAGATGTTCAACGAGACGGCGCTGAAGATCGGGGCCCTGGAGCGGGGCGACAGCGGGGTCTACGGGGCTCGGATTATACTGCACCCGGCGCTGGTGGAGGATCAGTCCTTCAACCTCTCCGTCTACGGTGAGCGGCTGCACGCTGGGGTTTGGCAGAGGCGCTGGGGGCAAAAATAGAAAGCCCCGAGTGCGAGCACTAACCCCTTTACAGGTGGGGAAACTGAGGCACGGAGCAATGATGGGGTTTACCAGGGTTAGATTAGACCCCAGCCTTTGCACCCCAGCGCCCGCAGCCTCTCAAGCTCTGCAAAAGGCCAAATCCTGCCACCCCAGGGGTCCCCAGGGTGGCCGTGCCGTGCCCCGCTGGGGCCAAGTGTGACGGTGGGGATGAGCAGGGTGAAGAAATCCCTGCCGCCCCGCGCTGATCCGTCCCCCCCCCCCATCGGATGCAGAGTCGGTGCCAAGCCCCCGGACCCGCAGCCAGCTCCTGGCCAGCACCCTGGAGTGGTGCAACCTGACGCTGCAGTGCCAGGGTGCCGGCAAAGGCACCGTCAACATCACCTGGAAGAGGGACAACGTCATCCGGGACCTGACCTCCGACCGCCACCAGCTCTCCCCAGACGGGACCACCCTACGGCTGGCCCTGCCGCCCACCGCCACCAACGTCACCTACGCCTGCACCGTCAGCAACCCCGCCGACCAGAAGGTCGTCCTCTTCGACCTGCAAGCCATCTGCCAAAGCGGAGGTGAGACCCTCGCCCCGAGGACGCTCGGGGGTCCGACGCCAGCCGGCTGGCTTGGCACCGGGGTGGGCTCAGCCCCTGGCGGGGGGGGTTGGCACCTCTCAGTGCCTCTCTCTGCCCTTCCAGGGGGGCAGACGTCCTTCTCAAAGTCGGGGTACATCGTCCTGACCCTCATCCTGCTGGTGGTGAGCTTGGGGGGAGCCTTCTGGTGCTGGCGGATGAATAGCGAGAAGGCGGCAGACCCAGGCAAGTGAAGCTCCCCCCCAGGAGCCAGCACGGCTTTTGGGGGGGGGGGGGGGGGGGGGGGGG